GAAAGAAGCTCAAGGGCTTTTACTCCGAAGGGATGCATGAAGGAAGGTCTGAGGGGAAAAGGGTCTGGGGTACCATTTTCTGAGGGATATTTTTTCCCATGAGAGAGGATTGTCTTCTTCTGTGAAAGGGGGACGGACTTACCTTGTCGGGAGCGTGAGGGGCTTTCAGGGTAGGTGGGGAGGGTGGTCTGGTCAGAGCTTGAGGGAGGGGGTGATTTGGGAGTGGGGTTTGATGCGGGAAGGTGGGGGTCTCTGGAATTCCCTTTGACATGGCTGCATCTCCCCCGTAGATTCCGGAGCTCTGGGTCTGTCCAGTTCTCTGTGTCCTAGTTTTTTCTCTTTGAAGATGATAATTTTGAGCTTCACCTGGACAGAGCTAGGAACAGCCATTTCCTTCCCTGGAGCTATGATACCCGCCCGACACCCTCTCACCTCTGACCTGCTCTGGGAAGGGGGTTTAGGGAAGGATGGGGGACACAGGATCTGGGAAATGGGCAGTGGTGGGTGAAATGAAAGCTGGGTACTGGACACACAGGAGGACCTTCTGGCACCGGCAGGGTGCACCAGGCTCAGCAGGGAGATTGCTGAGGGTAGGGTGAGCAGGTGCCCCTGGACCAAGACTCGCTGGGACAGCAGCAAGGTTAGGAAAAATGGAGATGTTTCCATACTCCCAGAAGACAACAATGCTAGTTTTTGGTTGGTTGGTTTTGTTTGGTTTTGCTTTCTTTCCCCTTCACCCTAGATCCCAAAACCCATTCTACTTCTCTCTCCTCCTATTTTTGCCAAAAGGGAAACAGAGGCAGATGACAGGTTGGCTGGAAATATTCATGTTCAGAAGGGAAAGGTGGTGGAGAGGAAAGCACACTGAACTTGGAGTCAAAAGACCTCAGTTCAAGGCTTGCCTCAGTGCTTCATGGGTGACCTTGGGCCAAAATGTTTTCTCATACTGGGCCTTGGCTTTCTCCGCTATAAAATGGGAGAAGGGCCACCTGACTTGCAGGTTGGTGTGAGATCAGATGTGCCCAAAGAGCTTTGTGAAAGGGGATGCACCGAATACTGTGAGGTACAGATGGGCTCCCCAGCCTCCCTGCCCTCACCAAGGGTACTGGGGAGCCCATGGGGCACCTTTATAATAATGAGAACAGGTACTTCCTCTGGAGGGAGAGAGTGTTCAGCTGGGCTAGGGACTTGGGGTCTTTTTTATCAGAATTACATAAAGGCGCACTTTCCCCCAGGTGCAGCCATTCCACACAGTTGGGCAAGTAGAACATATGTTGGACTCCAATGCCCACCTCCCCTCAGGTGAACGTCCCTGTTGTGTGCGGTACAGCTGCACAGTTGCACCTGGCAGCCCTTCTTAGCAGACCCTCAGTGTCTCTAAGAGACATAAAGGTACACACATTCCCAGGGCATTTCCTATAGAAGCCTATGTCCTAAGCTGTTACTAGCTCACTTTCTTTCCTGCTTTGCCTCCACTTTGCCTCCAGGGTAGGAGTTACTGAGTCGCTAACCCCTTATGTCAAGAGCCC